AAAGCTAACACTTTAAACTACATATTTATACAGGTGTTCTAAGACATTCCATATTATAACGTGTATTTATCCTATTTTTATATATAAAAATAAATTCTAGCCTACAGAAAATAATAGACAGTGTTCAACACAATACTTAATCTTCAGAAAATCAGCAGAAATAATTAAAACACAAAGATTCGTACGACCTTGAATCGTGAAATTATTCCTAAATGAAAAACAGTATTTCTTAACAAATTCTTGAAGCCCATTCGAAATCAGGTTGTTCGTCTAATCACAATAAATTCTTATTAAATATTAAAATATTACAATAATTAACATTTAAAATATTTAAAATATTAAATGATGTTCTTTATCGAAATATTCGATTTACATTAGACCATCATGAAAAATGAAAAATCATTTAATATTTTAAATGTTAATTATTGTAATATTTTAATATTTAATAAGAATTTATTGTGATTAGACGAACAAGATCTAAACAATATATATTTATTATATCACAATATGACGCAACTTTACCATCTCATTGTAATATAAATCCTACTGATGAATAAAATATACACGCAGGTGCTATTGACACCTTAAGGATGGCACAAACGATTAATAATCAGTGTAAGCAAAATTCAGCGTCAATTTCTCACCCAAATCTATCCTGATTCACAGCTTCACTGCTAGATTGCTCTGGCAGTCAAATAAGGAGTGAGTAGAAATTGTGCAGAGGCAGTGGGCTGGTCACTCACTACTCATAAATGCACGATTTAAAGACTATGAAACCTCCGAAAGGAGATCCTATGATTCACGTAGGAGTTACAGGAATTAATTGATTGATTGATTGATAAAGACTATAGATGACTAAATCTGTCTTCTTGCCCCATTGATTCCGTAACAGAAATAGCATCTATAAACAAAGAAAGTTTCACACCTGCATCCATCTGCAGGCTACGGTGATCTAATTAACATGGATATTAGGCAAAGAACGTGACAGCGTGCTATATTGCACTGAAATCGCGTTTAAAATGGAATTGGCTTATACCTTGTGGAGACGAGCTAGACTAGAGAGCGGATTATTTTCAAGAAATTAGCATGATGTGACTGCCTCGAGTTTATAAAACCGCCACGCTCTTCAAAGGATTTCTTTAAAGGACTCTACAATGCTGGAAATGATCTAACTTTGCATTTATATTAGATAGTAACGTGACGAATAAGAGGTAAATAAAATTGTGTATGCATATACAAATTTGTAATTAAATGA